AGAGAGAGAAACAATCTATGAAGTGCCCTTAAAGGAATGGGAGTGCCCTTCTCCTTTTTTCACTCCTTCCTCTTGGCTTTAATGTGAATATGATGGCTGGAGCTAGGGCAGCCATCTTTGACCATGAGGCAGAAGCCACATGTTGAGGATGGTGTAGCACAAAGATGGCAGCTGCTAAGGCTCCTGATGATTGAGCAGATACCATACCACCTCTAGACTGTGTACCTGGATATCACTGTGAGGAGAAATAAATTTCTAACTTTTTAAAGTCACTAGTATTTTGAGTTTTCTTTCACTTTCTGCTGAGTTTAATCCTAACTGGTCAAATAAAAAATTGGCATTCTGTATGAATAAAGTGAGGGGAAAGGATGAAAAATAATATCAAGTGGCATTTTACATGGCAGCCCTGTACATGTGCCCTGGAAGCCATCAAATCTACAGTACAACTGAGAGTAGGGCATCAAAGGGGTGCCGAGCATTGGGTGGCCACTATCTTAATGCTTCACTGCCACCTTGTTCACCCTCTTCTGGAATCAGGTCACTACACAGCACAAAAAAGAATCTTAAAGAAGGGAAGAGAGGCATGAAAAGGATTTGAAAAGTCCTTGAAAAGGACTCTAGAGACTAACAATTGAACTAGATTAAGGACCCAAGTAGATTTGCAAAGGACCTAGAGTTTGCCATCTTTCTTCACTCATAGCTCCTAAATATTTATAACAGCCAGCTCTGATTCAGAAACAGTCCTTCCAACTTTAACTGTAAGCAATACACGTGTATATTAAGTTCTTATGTAAAAAAGCATTTAGGCTGGGTGCAGTGGCTCACACCTGGAATCCCAGCACTTCAAGAGGAAGGATTGCTTGAACCCAGGAGTTGGAGACCAGCCTGAGCAACAAAGCAAAATCCCATTCCTAAAAAAAGAAAGAAAGAATGATAAGCTGGTCGTGGTGGCATGCACATGTAATCCCAGCTACTCAGGAGGCAGAGGCAGGAGAATCAGTTGAGACCAGGAGTTCAAGGCTGCAGTAAACTGTGACCCTGCCACTGCATTCCAGCCTGGGTCACAGACCAAGAGCTAGTCTCAGAAAAAAAAAAAAAAAGCATTATATTGAGACTCAGTGTTAAACATTAAATTGAGGACAGCAGGTAGGATGTAAATAACATTAAATTTGGAGTGAGGAAACCTAGATTGTAGGCCCACATTGACTTCTTGGATGATTTCATTCATTTATTCATTCATTCTTCCATCCATTTAACAAATATTTATTGAAATATTTATTGAAATGTACACTGTTCCTGCATTTATAGACTTGTATTCTAATAAAGAAGACAGACATCGATGTTTAGAAATCCAAGCATTAACAATGTAACTGCTACTTAATACTACAAAGAAAAGTTACATGGAGATTGTACCAGGGAGGTTAATATAGACTTGAGCTATGAATCAGGTCTGAAGGATGACTGGGTGTCACTAGGTGAATGGGGCTGCAGGAACTGCATATGTAAATTCCTAGCAGCCCAGATGTGGCAGGATTGTATTCTAGAAATTACAGAAGACCAGAATGACCTGGGCTTGGACAACAGATGCAAACCAATGACCAGCAATGGGAAGTCAACAAATGGGTTAAAAGGGAAGGGAGATGGGAAGGAGATGTGAGATAATCATAATTGTATTTTGACCAATTAACTCTGGATGCAGTATTGAGAACTGATTGTAGGGTAACAAGTTGACATGAGAAAACCAGTTAGGAGGCTACTGCTGGAGTCCAGAAGAAATAAAACATGTGTGGCTTGGTTGAGGGTGGTACAGATATAAAAAAGGTAGACAGATGCAAGAGGAGGTAAAATTGATAGGATTAGGTAATAGATTAGGTATGAGATTAGTGAAGGTGAGAGTTAAGGATGAGTCATCTATCTCTAGCTGAGATGGGGAACAATGGAAGGAGACCAGATTTGAACAAGACAAACTCTGGAGGTCTCAATTTCTGTTTCTGCAAAATACAAGTCAAACTTTTTCTTGAAGTTATCTCCAGTTCTAAAATTATACGACTGTATTAGATAATTTAATCATTTTTTAAAAATAAGGAGTAGGCTAACTTAAGTGGGAATTGCTTATAGGTAAATGCATTAGTTATTCATTGCTAAATAAAAAATTACCACCAAACCTTAGTTACTTAAGACATTTATTATTTCATAATTTCTGTGGGTTAGGAATTCAGGAGCAGCTTAGCTGGGTGGTTCTGGTTCAGGGTTTCCTAGGGAAGGCATTCAGAATATTGATAGGGTCTGCAGTCATCTGAAGGCTTGCCTGTGGCTAGAAGATCTACCTGCTTCCACAATGGCTCGCTCATATGGCTGTTTGCAGAAGGCCTCAGGTCCTTAGTGATGGCAGAAGGCCTCCCTTACTCACCATGTGGGCATTTCCATAGAATAATTAAATGTCTTCATGACACAGCATTTGGCTTGCCTCAAAGCAAGTGATCCCAAAAAGAGCCAACAAGGAGGAAGCCACAGTGCCTTTTATGATCTAGTCTCAGAAGTTGCATACTAAGTCTGTTCTTGCTGCTATGACAAAAATTCCTTAGCCTGGATAATTTATAAATAACAGAAATTTATTTCTCAAAGTTCTGGAGGCTGGAAATTCTAAGTTCAAGGAAGGTGCCGGTAGATTTGGTGTCTGGTGAGGGCTTCCTCTCTCTGATTCAAGTATGGTGACTTGCTGCCATGTGTACTCACGTGGTGGAAGGGTGGAAGAGGAAAAAGGGTTGAACATCACTGTGAAGCCTCTTTTATAAGGCCACTAATCCTATTCATGAGGGCAGAGCCCTCATAACCTAATCATCTCCTAAAGCTCTTACTTCTTAATACTGTCACGAGGGTGATTAAGTTTCAACATATGAATTTTGGGGGGACACATTCAGACCATGGCACATATAGTCAATTCCATTTTGTTCTAAGTCACTAAGTGTAGCCTACCCTCAAGGAGAGGGGAATTAGGCTTCATCTCTTGAAGGGAGGAGTAGCAGACAATTTTTGGATGTATTTTTAAACCACCACAGTAAGGTTTAAATCTCATACACTTGACACTTCACAAAGTATTGGGCAACTTTCTTTGACAGTAAATAACACTGTTGTATAGACTAAATTAAAATGAAGCTAAAGTGTTATAAACTTTTAGAAAACAGCTGCCTAGAATATTCAGTGCCAATGTTCAGCATAAATATTTATTCATTTATTTATATTTCTTTCTCTCTCTCTCCTCCCCCCCCCCCACTGTAATGAGGCAAGGGCAGTCGAACAATGTACAAAGCTTAATGAGACATAAACTAGTGGATATTTGGGTCTACAATTATGAAATAATTTGGTAAATGATTCTCTACACACACATGCTTTCAGAATAATTATAAAACACATAATGAATTCTATAAGTTACACATTGCTATGTTTGAGAATTGATTTTTTATGTGAATCAGAGTCAGAGCCGAAGAATTTTAGAGCCTGAAGAAAGCTTACAGATGGTGTAGTCCAAATCCCTCATTTATTGATGAGAAAACTGACAGTCCACCAAAAAAAATTTTTTTTTCCTAGAGTTCTCACTCAGTTTGTGGCAGAAAGCCACTGGTAGTCACTTGGTAATAATGTTGGAGATGGGATTCAATGGTCTTTGAGATCCTCTTCTAGTCCTAAAAATCAATGATGTCTTAACACAACATCTGGGAAAGGTACAATAGGTGTAATATTCTCACTCTTTTAACACTGTTTGCAAGTAAGTTACAGAATAGCCTATCAGATCTTTCAAGGTCACTTAGTAACTTGGTAGGCATTGGGAATGAAGCCAAGGTTATAGATTCCCTCATTTAGACTCTTTCTACTCGTTTATTACTTACCTCTGGAATTTTATTGCATTTATCACAAACTAAATTGGCTTTGTTATATAAGCAAGGAGGATTAAGTAATAACTTTTACCTTATCTTTGTGGGAGACTAATATGCTCATATCTGTGAACACATTATGAATTATGTACTTATGTAATTTGATGTTAGATATGGAGATAATAAAGGTAGGAATAGACCTGTGGTTTCCTGACTCTTAGTTTAGGTACATTAGCCATCAGACCTCTATTGACTGCACTGAAATTTTATAGCTTCATATCAGCAATTAAATTTGTATGGCTTTACTAGGCATACAAAAGTAAATGATAAGATAGTTTTATTTGCTTTGTCTATTTTTAACTGAGGGCTATGATATTGGTGAACACATTGTGAATATGTAGTTAATTAGATATGTAAGATAATGTGAATAGTATAAAATATCATTTTTTTTTTTTTTTTGAGACAGAGTCTCACTTTCTTGCCCAGGCTAGAGTGACATGGCGTCAGCCTGGCTCACAGCAACCTCAATCTCCGGGGCTCAGCGATCCTACTGCCTCAGCCTCCCGAGTAGCTGGGACTACAGGCATGCGCCACCATGCCCGGCTAATTTCTTGTATATATATATATTTTTTTAGTTGGTCAATTAATTTATTTCTATTTTTGGTAGAGATGGGTCTCGCTCAGGCTGGTTTCGAACTCCTGACCTTGAGCAATCCGCCGGCCTTCCAAAGTGCTAGGATTACAGGTGTGAGCCACCACGCCTGGCCTATCATGGTTTATAATAGAAAATTCTCTTACATTTCCTTCTATGCATAGCTTTTAAGAAGTAGTGATTTTGTGTTGTTATAGCTTTTTAAAAATAGTGAATATATTTTTGATGGAAAAAAGTTTTAGTATATATCTAATATTGTTGTAAAATCCTTGGCATATATAGAATTGTGTTTTCCAAAGAAATAATTGGAAATGAAAGCCTGTTTTAGCATGTTATCTATGTTCATCTATTTAATAAGTATTTATTGTATGTCTCATTTGCCACAGCTTATATCATTTTTATAGTTCATATATTTCCAGTTACTAGGAATAAACATTTGTTCCTAGATTGTCTGTAGACACTTAAAATTCAGCATGTTCCCAACTTGCCTAATTATCTTGATCTCTCAGTTCTACTTCTTTTACACTCTCCATTTACCTTAATGGTACCCACCTTGAAATCATTTTCACATCTCCTTTTCTTTTTCTCTCAAAGTCTATCTCCAAATCTTTTAACAGATTCTATTTCCTCTCCATCCTCACAACCTCCTAAGTTCAGACCCTCATTCTCACTTGCATGGACCTTTATAGCAAAACTGTGTTATCTAAAGTGCCACTGGTGGTCTCGCCATCTTACTCTCACTGTCACTGAACCAGGCAATTCACGTGGCTGCGAGTAACCTTACTAAAATATAAGCCAGATCACATTATTTCTCTTCTTAACACCTCTTATGCATGAATTCCTATTTCCTCAAGGATGAAGGATAAATTCTACACTTCCCAGTGTGTCTCAACTTACCTTGAAACCTTTGGTTATAAACATCCTTATATCCAAAGATCAACCCCATATTGATAGTCAGTCTCCAAAGCTGGTTGCTTTTCCTCCTGCTTCTTCTCTTAAGGAACTTCCCTTCACTCTTCCCTTCTCCATGTGGTGTTCTCTTCTGTAGGCAGAGTTAATTGCCCCCTTCTCTGTCTTTCTTAATACTACATGTCCATCTTTATTATAGCTCATATTGTACAGCATTATTTATTTGCCTTTCCCATTACTGAACTGGAGGGCAGGAACCAAGTTTTATTCAAACTAGCAAGGGGCCTGCAACTCAATGTTTGTTCTAGATCAAAAAACTTTCATCTATAAACCATTCTTGCAAAAATGAATTTTCTTCATTTTTATTTTATAGAAGTACTTCTGTATGTGCTAGTGAGACCAATGGTTTGTAACTATCATCAGAATTCCAGAATTCAGAATTAGTCAATATATTGCAGTGGATCAGGACTGTAGCATAGAACTGTTAGTAATAGATTGGTTTGGATATATCTTTTTAGAGCATATTATGTGCTGTATAAAAAAAAGTCTCGTAACTACTGATTAACATAAAAATTTTATTTTGAAGAAAAGTAGTTTTAGCAAACGTGTGCATTTTTTCCACTTGAAATACGAGGTGTTGAAATAAAAATGAGAAAGAAAATTTTAAGTTAAATATCCAATATTTCATCTAAAAGTGCATATATTTGATGCAAGGAACAAAATAAATGTATGTGTGGTGTCTGTGTGTGTGTGTAGATTACATTTGCAATCAATAATAGATCTGACTCCTGACAATAAAATTCTGTCAGCACAGTTCACCATAATTTTTCTTAGGAAAGAGTGGTTTTGCTGCTTTTGTGTAATTGATCCATATTGCAGTAAAACTCAACATAAATAAATTGGTTTTTTTAACATTATAAAAGTAAAATAGAAAAGAATGAAGAACGAAATAAAGAAAAAAAATGCCCACAGAAACATTATCCAGAGATGACTATGGGTTTCAATCTTTCTTTTTTCTAATACTTTATATATATATATATATTTTTTTTTTTAAAAAAAACATAGCTGTGTTAATACTGCCTGGACAGTTTCATAATTTATTTTTTCTCCCCAGTTAATACTATAAAAACTTGCCATGTTGTTATATATTACACAAAAATTTAAAATTGTTACCTTAATCCTTTTGTAGTTCGTGTGAAGACTAGGTTTTCATGCTCATGTGTGACATGTGTCTCCCTCAAACCTTCTTACAACATCTGCTCATTACCTGACATGGAAAAGTAAAATAAATTTGTTGCCTAAAATGCTATAGAGTAGTATATCTCATTTTTAGACACTTAGTTTCCATATTTCTTATTTTTGCATCTTGTGAATAATATTGTGATACAGCATTTATAAATAAAGCTCTTGCTCCATTTCAGATTATTTCCTCCAGAAAGAATCCTAGATATGGGATTTATAGGTTCCAAGAGTTATGAACATTCTTAAAGGTTGAATCACACTGCCAAATTGCTTTCTAAAGAGGTTATTTCAGTTTACACTCCCACTCACAATGTCTAACAGCACACTTTTTATCTCACCAGCCTTGAATGTTATCTTTTACTTAAATATTTACTAATATGATACTCAACTAAAATGTTACAGTTTCTGGTCTGTTTGCTGTTGCAGAGGATAGGATAAAATCAAGACTTTTGGAGTCAAGTATGTATGTGGATTTGGTCATAGCTCTGCCTCTTCTTAACCTTGTTACATTGGGCAAATTACTTAATCCTTTCTAGGCTCTCTTTATTCACTGGTTACAAAAAAAAAGGGTCAATAATAGTATTTACCCCAAGCACAGGGTTGTTTTAACCATTAAAAAAGTCACTTAAAAGAATGTTACACCAGTGCCTGGCACATGACCAACAATAGGGAATCCTTCATTTTCAGTTGCAAAAGTGTGTTATAGACTTTTGATTAGTGTACTATTTAGGAATATTTAATACATAATACTTTGACTATGCATGCAACCTGACGTGGAAGGCTGACCGATTACAGGGAGAATTCTCGCACCCCAGGGAGAAGAAGGTCAGGGAATGTTCTTTTGGTGGGCTAGAAGAACCACATAAACCTGTTTGGTTACAAAGCACACACCTGCTTTCCATCCTTGAGGAATTTGCCTTTGAGTTCAACCCCTGGAGTCTCTTGAGGCTTTTAATTGTTTAGAGACCTTTCAAAGGGCGATAGTGATAACTCACTGAAGAGGAAGCTTAGTGAAAGTGATCTGGAGATAGTTCCTGGAAAAAATACTATCTCAACGAAGGTAAATACTAAGGCAGAATGGATATGAATTATTTATTCTATAAAAGTACATTGATTCTAGACAAGCTATTTGGCAGGGGAAAAAAAGTACATTGATGAGTTTTGTTATCTGCATCTAAAGTTTGTTCACAAAAGAGAAGCTAAACTGCAAACAGGGCAAGCCAGGCTACTCTGATTTTGTGCACTTGCTGTTTGTACACTCATAGCAAATTTTGCTCTTAGAATCTCAGCAGAAAATACTGAGAGGAGGAAGCATGGAGTAGGTAACAGAACACTGATCCGGAATTCAGGAGATTTCAGTCTAACCCCAGCCACTAGCTAAAATGAGGGGCTAGAGTTAGACTACGACTGAATGCCTAACTTTCTCTAAATCTAGAATAATTCAGGTTTGGCTGCTCTTTGGGGCCCTACCTCCAACTTTTTCTTCCTAGCCCACTCCTTCCAACTGCCAAAGATTGTCGTTGGCAATAAAAAAAATCACATATCCTTGCTTGGATTAAAACTTGCACTCCTGATTTGGGGCGATATCTATTGAGGTTTGGGGTGGAGTTTAAAAACTGTCCCTGAAAAAAAGCAAGTTTTTCTAGTTGGTTAAAACCTGCCAAAATAATTTAAACCTTCTTCGTTGCGAATACAAGTTCCTCTCAGGTAGGCCCATTTCTCTCTGCTAGTACATGATTTTCAAAGCAAACAGCCAAGTAACACGCCCAATTTGGTCCCCGAATCCCTCTGGGAAGAATTCCTCCTTCGGGGGCGATGGAGACGCCCGCAGTGAGTTTGCTGGCACCAGCGGGAGTTTCAAGTTTCCACTCGTGGGGGAGGCGGCCGGCGCTCTCCGAGCTTTGGGCCGGGCGGCTCCACTTCCCTTGACCGCAGTCTTCGCTCTGGCCCAATCCTCTCAGGAAGGACTCGCCCTCTTTCCCCCGGGGCTCCAGTGCCCGCAGCCTCGTCCCTCGCGCTTCCAGGCCCGAGACCGCGACCCCCGGCTACGCTCCGCGCGAGGCCTGCGGCTGCGGACCGCGGAGCGGGGCGGGGCGCGGGCGGCCCTCACGGCGGCGGCAGCGGGGGCCGCGGCGTTGGCGCTCAGGCCGCGGCGCGAGGCCGGCCGGCCGGCAGGGGGAGGCGGGGGGCGCGGGGCAGCCCCGCCTTTTCCCCGAGGAGGCGCCGGGCGGCCATATTGCGGAGCTGTCTGCGGTGGCGGCGGCGCCTCTTGTCTCCGGCGGCCCAGCGCTCGCACCACCGCCTCTCCGTCCCTGCCGCAGCCGCGCCGCCGGGCAGCGCCTTCGCCACACGCCGGCGGGCAGGAGCCGCTAGCTCTCCGGGTAAGCCGCCGGCGCCCTCCCTTCCCCCACTGCCCGCTCCGAGGCTCCGCCGGAGACGCTGAGGTGGCGGCGAGAAGTTGCGGGGCCCGCACTGCCGGGCAGTGGCGCCGCCGCCAGGGCCTGCCGCGCCTCAGCTCGCACCCCGCCGGCCAGGTCACCACCGTCGTTAACGGCTGGCTAGGCTCTCCCTGGGGCCGGCGGGAGCCGCGAGGCCCGGCCCGAATGTGCCCGGTCCGGGCCAAAGTCGGCCCGCAGCCGCGCGTTTCTCCTCTCCGCGGGGCGCAGGGTCAGCCCTCGGCGTCGCCTCGGCTCCCCCGCGTCCCGGGGACGCCGGGTTCCCGCCGCCGGCTCTGGGCCCGGGACTTGGGCTGGCACGGCCCTGAGGGTTGTTCGAAAATACAAACAGTGAGCATAGGTGGAATTCTGTTTTACAGTGTAGGGAAGGCATTTATTAGAACTTCTCCCCCGGCCTCTAGTTTGAAAGTAAGGGTGTTGAATTTCTAGAGAGCGTGTGTTCCGCCCTAGTGGCAAAGGGGATGTTGCATTACAGGGTTTGGGGCGCCACCCGCTCCAGCCGTCCGCACCCGCGAGGCCAGGGCCGCGGTCCCCTGCCGTCGCGCTACCTGCTGCTGCTGGCGCCTTCCGAGCCTGTTAACTTTCTGTGGTTCTTGGTATCTCAGACCTCACTAGGCAAGTTCAGTATATCGTTTAAAGGATCCTAAACTCAATTCCAGGGCTAACTTTGCAAGGGAGCAGTGCACATTTCATATGCCATGTTTCTTTAAACATTCTCAATATTCGTTTGTTTTTTGTTTGTTTTTTGACTTAAAGAATCATTTAATTAATGAGGTTGGAAATGTGTTAAAAGTCAGCTTCTTCAAAAATATTTTTTTAAATACAGTTGTGATTTTTGTGGGAAGACATATTTGAGGAGCTCGATGGCAGTCCTGTGGCACCAAGACTGGCAGGATGTAAATGTAAAAGCCTAAGATAATAAGGGTTTATTCTATAAACGAGTACTTTGACATAGACATTACAATCTATTGTTTATGCAGCATGCATTTTCTAAGAACACTAAATACTCCTTTATATGATGGGTGGAGCTAAGAATGAACAATTGCCCTGTTCATTTTGCTGGATAAATAATGGCTTAATCCATTTGCCAAAACAGCATCATTAGATTTGAGAAGGGATTACAGTTTTCTAGCTTTCAGAATTTCTTAGCTTTCCCCAGTGTGCTTTATGTTCCTGAGACGAATAATACTTTACCTCAAATATGACGAAATGTAGAACTCTGTTTTTGAAGTTTAATAGTATTCTGTAAAGAGGACTGCACTTTTTCTTAGCTTAATCACTTTTTTACGTATCATGGAATTTAATAAACATTTGATATATTTTTAGTAAGGAATCAATAGATAGGCATTGGAATTGTTTACATTTTTATTTAAATGAAACAGAATTTGATTATGGCATTTAAAATGTTGAATTCTTGCCCTTTTGAATTATATACATTGTTTACCTCTGTATCTTCACCAGTGGAAGAACGTGTAGGAGAGGCTCAGAAATATTTGTAGAGTAGATGTAATTAATTTTGGTGTCGGGAAAATATGTTGAGTCTGTCTTTTTGAAAATTGTGATTACTTTATTGAAAATTAATTTGATTATTCTTTTCCCTGTGATGGTAAGATATGATAGACTTTGTTCTTTCCTTCTCTTGCTAACTCTCAGTAGTCTCAGGGGAGGGGAACAAGAATTGTACTTTTGTTTATTGCTTCACCATTCCCAAGAGCAGAATTAGATTTTATTATTCATTTTTATCTTTGGCAGGCTGTTGAAATGAAAGTCTTTGTATATTTTTATTTTACTTCGAGTTCTCAATCTTTTAATATAATCTATGTATGAAATGTTGAATGATAGTGGGAGTCTTGTTTTTTTCACCCACTTTTAATTTAATACATTTTAATGTATGCCATTTACAAATGGAATGAAATTTTAACCAGTATTTCCCATAGACCAAAGCCTAAAAAGTATATTCTATTAAGGTTGCAAAGATACCTAATATAATTTCATGTTACTGCTGTGAATCTGGGAAGTCAAGAAACTCACTCTTTTTTGAGTGGCTTGGACCTTCCTGCAGAGAAAGAGCTGGTGAGCACTACTTAAATACCTGATACTACCCCTGGGGTACAGGGATTCAGTGGAGCTGGATTGGATTGCTATAGACTCCACCCTTTCAAGATTATTTTAAGTCTCAAGGTATTACTGGTCAGCTAAAGGTTGTTCTGGGAATATCCCTGACTTTTATAGCCAGGGTATGCTCACCTCTTTGGTGGTAGAGGTGTACAGTCTGACCCTAGAGAGTTCCTCAGTTTCTAGCTTATTTTAGAGAAATTCTGCCTTTCCTATTTAAGTTCCTGGTGTATTTCTTAATATTTATATTGGCTGTGTATATAAGCAATTTTTTAATACCATAAAAGTAATACATTTTATGACAAAGTGAAAAAACTCGGAAAGGTAAAAGTCCTGCTCACTCCCCAGAACCCCCTTTTCCCAGTCCTGTTTTTCATAGGTAACTGCTGTGAGTAATTCCTTGTATGTAGAAAATGCCAATACTTACACAGGGTTAAAACGTATCCTTTACATCCCTTATTTGTGATTTTTAAAGTATGTTTAAATAAGGTTATATTGTAACATTGAAACTGTTCATCGTTTTAAACATTGTGTAAATCATTATATTTTTATCATTTGAATAAAATCACAGAAGGAAACTTCCTATAATCTCTAAAGTGTGTATATGTACAAATTTATACATGTGCAAAATTTCTTGGTTAATGATTGAAGGTGAACTTTACTGTTTGTTTTTCTTTCTAGAGTATGGTGTATAATTAACAGTGAGAAATGGTATCTTTTTAAAAAAAGGGCTTATAACATGGGATATTGAAATGCCCACATCTGGGCCTTACAGAAAAAGTTTGCCAATCCCTGATTTAGAGAAAAACATCCTTTGAAAGGATGTTTTAGATACAGTATCAAAGAAGGAGGTACTGCATTGTTTGCTATTTTCTGTAAGATTATATTAATAGAACTTGTAAAGCTAGGAACTCTAGTATTAGTAATTGATACAGATTTTTTTTTTTCTGAGTTGTAGATAATCCCTAGGGGATTTCAGAACGTTAAATATTTCTTTTATTTTCGAAAAGTTGAAGTCAAATAGGACTGACTACAGTGAATTTGTGAAGTGAGCAATCTTCAGATTTGAAGCCTTAAGTCATTTGAGATGCTTTCACTGCAAATAACAGAAAATTCTGGAACTTGTTTAAACAATGAAGAAATTTAACTTCTTATATGATAAAGTACAGAGGTTCAAGAAATATCAAGGACACATTCTCTTTCCAACTCTCTTCTGTGACCTTCCCCTTTAGCTTCATACTAAGACTGCCTTTCCCCTTTGTCCTAGTTTGGCTGTCTCAAGGACTAGCATCCCATCCAGACACAGCAATATCCAAAGGAATAAGAAGAGCTGTCTCTTTTCCAGAAGTCCCCCAGCAGATGTCTTCTCAGCCTCACTGACCAGGGGCACATTCCATACCTAACCAGTCACTGGCAAGAGTAGTGGAATTGCCTTTTTTCTAACTCTGTTTCCATTACATTATTTTCATTATTCATCTGTACCAAGTGTCTTGGGTTCTTTTTTACCCTCACCCAAAAGCAAGATCCAAGATTGATCTGTCATACACAGTCATATGTAGGTTAGCATGAACACATGAGTTCATATCTTCTTGGGTACCAAATTTAGGTAAATTACAGAATGCAAATGCTGATTCCTTTTAAAATATGTGACAAACTACAGTCCATGGGCTAAATCCAACCTACTGCCTATTTCCATAAATAAAGTTTTATTTGAACATATAGGTCATTTGTTTTTGTATTTATCTATGGCTGCTTTCCTGACACAACAGCAGAGTGGTTAACACAGACACTGTGTGGCTTACAGAGCCTAAATTGTTTATTATCTTGTTCTTCACAGAAAAAGTTTGCTGACCCCTGCTCTAAGTTGTCAGTCATGCATTCAGACAGTTATTATTATGTGCCAAGTACCCTTTGTATTTGAGGATGGAAAGATGAGTAAGGTACTGAGGAGTTCATACTCTGATAGGAAGATAGTGTGCCATACAGTATATCAAAAAGTGTGTTAAGTTATAGTGGTGCGTATAAACTGGAATTAATACTCAGTGCAACAGTATTCTAAGCAGTTCTGTATTGTGAATTCTGGATGTTTCTTGCTTCCTACTTCCAAGAAAACTTCCTGTAAATTAACTGATAATAATTCAATAAGTTAACCACAGTAGGTGTGTTTGTAACCAGAAATCCTGGCTAGTATATGGAATAATGGAGGCACATGAGTGCAACATAGTGACCCTTACTTAATAAAAGGGAGAATGGGGACAAAGGAAATCTCATCTATGGTTAATGGACTCTAGAATCCTTTGGCTTGGATTAAACTTTGTTAGCTGTCATCAAGGACTCTTGATATTTAAGCTGTTTATATGTTTTAGACTTAGAAAAACTGTACAAACTTAGTTTGGTTATTAAGCAAAGTTAGTTATGTATACCCGAAAGCTCACTACTTACATCTAATCAACAAAAGCAGCATGATTATTATAGTTATCATTAGGAGTGTCATATTATCTGGCCCTCTAGTTTGGTTGTCAGATTAGCTGACATTATTGAAACAGTTTTGGATAGAGATGGTAAAGGCCTGAATTTGGGAGACCTAGATGTAAGGAGCTTTTTCCCCAAGTTTATGTTTCCTGTCTCTTCATAGTGATGCTTATTAGATTGGTCAAAATGAGAGGAAACTATTGCCCTTGAAGATAATCAACAGAAAGATTAAAATGAGTATTATGTACAAGCTTAATTCAACAGAATCAATAAACATTTGAGGCCCAAATGTGAGCCAGGCACTGTTCCAGTTTCTCAGAAAAGGGTTTGAATTTCTA